TCTTAGCTATTGTAAATAGTGCTGCTATGAACATGGGGGTACATGTATTCTTTCTTATCGGTGTTTTAGGCTTCTTAGGGTATATTCCTAGAAGTGGGATCACTGGGTCAAATGGAAGTTCAATTTTTAATTTTTTGAGGTAACATGCTATTGTTTTCCATAGTGGCTGCATCAGTCTGCATTCCCACCAGCAGTGCACTAGAGTGCCTTTTTCTCCACACCCTCGCCAACACTTGTTTGATGATTTGTTGATGGTGGCCATTCTGACAGGTGCGAGGTGATACCTCATTGTTGTTTTAATTTGCATCTCTCTGACGATTAGTGATGTTGAGCATTTCTTCATGTGTCTCTTAGCCATTTGTATGTCTTGTTTAGAGAGGTGTCTAGTTAGTTTCTCTGCCCATTTTTTAATTGGGTTCTTTGTTTTCCTTTTGCTGAGTTATATGAGCACTCTCTATATATTGGAAATTAAGCCCTTATCTGATATATCATTGGCAATTATGCTCTCCCATACAGTGGGTTGCCTTTCCATTTTGATGATTGAATCTTTTGCTGTGCGGAAGCTTTTAAGTTTGATGTAGTCCCATGTGTTTATTTTCTCCTTTGTTTCTGTTGCCTTAGATGATGTATCAGTGAAAATTCTGCTGCATATGATGTCTGAAATTTTGTTGCCTACATTTTCTTCTAGGATTTTTATGGATTCATGAGTCACATTTAAGTCTTTTATCCATTTTGAGTTTATTCTTGTGTATGGTGTAAGTTGATGGTCTAGTTTCATTTTTTGGCATACAGCTGTCCAATTTTCCCAACACCATTTATTAAAGAGGATGTCTTTACTCCACTGTATGCCCTTGCCACCTTTGTCAAATATTAATTGAACATAATTTCTTGGGTCCATTTCTGGGTTCTCTGTTCTGTTCCACTGGTCTATATGCCTGTTCTTGTGCCAGTACCAGGCTGTTTTGATTACAGTGGCTTTGTAGTATAACCTGAAATCTGGTAATGTAATCCCTCCAACTTTGTTTTTCTTTTTCAAGATTGCTGTGGATATTCAAGGTCTTTTCTGGTTCCATATAAACTTTTGAAGTATTTGTTCTAGTTCTGTGAAGTATGTCATTAGTATTTTGATGGGGATTGCATTGAATCTATAGATTGCTTTGGGTAGTATGGACATTTTAATGATGTTGATTCTTCCGATCCATGAACAAGGTATGTTCTTCCACTTTTTTATATCTTCCTCCATTTCTTTTTTCAATGACCTGTCGTTTTCTGCGAACAGGTCCTTTAGTTATTTGGTTAAGTTTGTTCCTAGGTATCTTAATTTTTTTGCCACAATGGTTAATGGAATTGTTTTTTCAGTTTCTCTTTCTGTAAATTCATCATTGGTGTATAAGAATGCCATTGATTTCTTGATGTTAATTTTGTATCCTGCTACTTTGCCAAATTCATTGATTAAGTCTAGTAAATTTTGATGGAGTCTTTGGGGTTTTCTATGTATAGTGTCATGTCATCTGCAAATAATGACAGTTTCACTTCCTCCTTTCCAATTGGGATCCCTTTTATTTTTTCTTCCTGTCTGACTGCTGTGGCTAAGACTTCTAGTACTATATTAAATAAGAGTGGTGAAAGTGGGTATCCTTGTCTTGTTCCTGTTCTTAAGGGAAATGCTTTTAGTTTTTGCCCATTGAGTATGATGTTGGCTGTAGGTCTTTTATATATGGCCTTTATTATGTCGAGATATGGTCCCTCTATTTTAAGATTGCTAAGTGTTTTTATCAGAAATGGGTGCTGGATTTTGTCGAATGCTTTTTCAGAGTCTATTGATGTGATCACATGATTTTTATCTTTCATTTTGTTTATGTGGTGTATCATATTTATTGATTTGTGAATATTGCACCAGCCTTGCATCCCTGGGATGAATCCCACTTGGTCATGGTGAATAAATTTTTTGATGTATTGCTGGATTCAATTTGCTAGTATTTTGTTCAGGATTTTGGCATCTATGTTCATCATGGATATGATGTAGTTTTCTTTCTTTGTAGTGTCCTTTTCTGGTTTTGGAATTAGAATTATGCTGGCCTCATGAAATGATTTTGGAAGTCTTCCTTCTTCTTGAATTTTTTGAAATAGTTTGAGGAGAATGGGTATTAGTTCTTCTTTGAATGTTCAGTAAAATTACCCCATGAAGCCATCCAAGCCTGGGCTTTTGTTTGCTGAGAGAGTCTTGATTACATTTTCAATTTCTTTTGTTGTTATTGGTCTGTTCAAGTTTCTCTCTTTTCCCAGGTCAGTTTTGGGAGACTATGTGTTTATAGAAATTTGTCCATTTCACTTAGATTGTCAAATTTGATGTTGTCAAATTGTTCATAATATCTGTTAACAATCCTTTGTATTTCTGTGGTGTCACTTATTATTTCTCCTCTTTCATTTCTGATTTTGTGTATTTGGGTTCTCTCTCTTTGTTTCTTGGTGAGTCTAGCTAAGGGTCCATCAATCTTGTTTATCTTTTCAAAGAACCAGTTCTTTGTTTCATTGATCCTTTGAATTGTTTAATTGGTCTCCACGTCATTTATTTCTGCTCTGATCTTGACTATTTCCTTCCTTCTTCTTGCTCTGGGGTTTTATTTTTGTTTGCTTTCTAGTTCTTTAAGTTGTGAGGTTAGATAATCTATTAGAAATTTTTCTTGCTTCTTGAGGTAGACCTGTAGTGCTATGAACTTCCCTCTCATAACTGCTTTCGCTGCATCCCATAGATTTTGTGTTGTTGTGTGTTCATTTTCATTGGTTTCCATGAAGTTTATAATTTCTTCTTGATCTTCATGGTAACCCATTTACTGTTCAATAACATGCTATTTAGCCTCCATGTTTTCAAATGTCTTTGCATGTTCTTGTTGCAATTGATTTCTAGTTGCATGCCATTGTGCTCAGAAGATGATTGATATGATTTCAGTCTTCTTGAACCTGTACAGACTTAGTTTGTGCCCTAACATGTGGTCTCCCTCTCCCTTCCTTTCTCTCTAAAAATCAATAAAGAAAAAAAACTTTAAAAAACAGACAAACAAAATTGCTTAACACAACCTTCGGAAAGCAGAGGCTGCATGTAATATAGTGTTTTTGCCAACTGGGTAAAAAACTTGACCTGGCTATTCCAGTCCAGCAACTATAAATGCTACCAATTATAATAACAGTTCCCGTCATGGAGAAATGACATTAAAGAATGTAATTCATTGCGAGAGTAACCTGATAAATATTTTTGGATGGGATGTCATGGAGACAAAAGTTTGGTGACCTCTGTACACATTTAGCACTTAGCCACCTCTGTGAACATCATAAGACTTCACCTGATCTTTAATCATCACACAACACCCAGGGGAATAGTGCTGGGTAAGCCAGGCCAAGCACTCATTGTGTTTTCCTAAATTAGGACTGCCTGTAATGTATCATTTACACTGCCTTTCCTCTGCAGATTAAAGAGTATAATTCTTTGTAATATATATTTTTTGCCTATTCCAGACCCCACACACATGGTAAGAAAAGCAAATGCATACTTTTCTATTACTTCTGTGTTAAGGATCTAATCCAGGAAAAAGAAAAGATTTTTTTTATCTTAAATTTACTTGCTTCATCAGAGAGAGGTTTTTTTTAGTCTTTTGGCTCCTGGAACACTTTTTTTGTTTTATTTTGTTTCATCCAGCTATGCAAATATGTAACAAAGGATTCAGAATATAAACCATAGTAGTATCAAGACCCATATCCAAGTGGAGACGCAATTTGAAACTCCCCCCATGTTTCCCCAGCTTGAACAGCAACTAATTAGGGGAGGAATCATACAGATGCATGCAGCATAGTTCCAAATCTGATATCTTTCAGGCGAGGGGGTCCATGGTGAAGCAAGTGGTGTGTCTCAGTTCGTTGAGCATCTTTCCATGCACCAAGCAGTATTAAGTTAGATTCCCAGTCAGGGCACATGCTGGGCTTACAGGCTGATCCTCAGTGTGGGGCTGATGGATCCATGGTGATGATTCTCACTCATTGATGTTTCTCTCTATCTCTCTCCCTTCCCACCTCTCTCTAAAATCAATAATAATAATAATAATTTAAAGAACATAAATAGCTGAAATGTAATGTAGGAAGTGACAAAGGCGTATTTGGAAAGGGGGGAACAATCAGGAAAGATCTCTTGCAGCACATAGTTTATGCAGGGCATTTAAGGCTAGAAAAGAAAGATTTAGGAAAGATTTGAATCAAGTATATTTCACACAGGGGATCAGAGCGAGTAAATTCTTGATGGGAGAAAAAGAAGGTGATTCAAACTGACAAACTGATCCATTTTTTATTTTGTTTTTAATTAACAGAGTTCGACCTAATGAAGAGAAACAAATCGATGGCCTTTTATTGCCACAAGGAAGTTAATGTATTTTGGCAGCGTCTCAAGTCTCAGCAAAAGGAACTTCCAGTTCCTGACGTGTGCGGTTTTCTTGCTGGAAGAACTCTTCCGGCTGCTTATTCCTTTCGCGGTCCAATGACAGAGAAGCCTATACTTTTGAACACCGCTCAGTGGTTACTGTAAAAGCCCGCTCTTAGCAAGAACCAATGAGCTCCCAGGGGCCAGATTTCTTGGAAATAGTTTCTGGCTAGGAGTGTGTGACATTGAGACAGCCTGGCACTTGTAAACAAGGACGAGTCTGGGCAGGCAGCCAGCCCACGCGATCCGGTGCCCTGTCCCAAGTGGCTGCTGATCTCGAGGCCACCTACCCCCAGATGCTCCCTTTGGGGTCCTCCTACCCCCCCTACCCTCACGGCTTCCGCACCTGCTCCAGGCCACTCCCCAGGGACCTCTTGGGGGCGGGGCCCAAAGCTGTTTATCGGAGCCGATTGACCGGGCTCGGGCTCTGAACCCGTTTCCAAGTCCTTTTAACTCCTCCCCGTTGGAGTTGGGGGGAGCTCGCCAGGAAACAAATAAAACCGCAGGAGACTGCCGGTGGTGGCCAGAAAAGCACTTGAATCTCAAGCTACTTACTGCTCTTCTGACTCACTGCCGGACTCCTCTACTCCGAGACACCCCTGAACCTCAGCACACACCGGGGTGCCACCAGCCCTCCAGCACACCTGCGCTCCACGTCGGGACACGCCCGCTCCCTTCCAGGTCCCGGGCTCTGCTCCTTGCAGCCTTCGCCCTCAAGACAGCCCAGCCCCTGCCAGGACCGGTGGGCATCGAGATGAAGGCGGCCCGCTTCGTGCTGCGCGGCGCCGGCACGCTGAGCCGCGCCAGCCTGGTCCCCCGCGAGGTCGACCATTTCTCCCGCTACAGTCCGTCCCCGCTGTCCATGAAGCAGCTGCTGGACTTCGGTGAGCGAGGGCGGAGGGCCCGGGTGGGGAGCTGCCTTCACTTCAAGTCCTGGTGCAGGGAGGGATGGGCTCACAGTTGAGAAACAACCGGGGTCCGCTTTCCTGCTGAAGCCTGGAGCCTCCTCGCCAGCGCACCTCGGTTTTCCCCACACCTGGCTTCTTTCTGACAGTGTGTGTTTGCAGGTAGAGGCACTTTGCAGCTCCGCTATTGCTGGATGGTTTGAGCTCATCTTTCCGGTCCAAAGTTTCCGTCAAAATACTTTCTGCTTTCAGTCAACATTTAACAATGAACGAGAAATGTCAGCCCCTGGAAGCATATAGTGCTTCTTGGAGAAGATTCCTAATACTATAATCGAGCCTCAGATTAAATGACATGCTATCCCTTAGCCACCCTCCACAGGGGACAGCTCTGCGTTCCTAACCAATTTCTTTGTTTCTTTACCATTCAAGTTTTCCATACATTTGTATCACCGCTGCAAATGTTCAAAGGCTTACTGCAGTAACATTACAAGGAAATTTTCCAGGATTTAAATGTGATGTTATTTATCACCAGCCTGGAAACATCAAGATGACTATCCCTCTCCCTTGTCTCCCACTCCAATTTCATACCTAGAACTCTGAACATGGTGGGGTTGACTGAACCCTGCACTCTTGTACGAATCTTAAAAGCTGTAGGATATTCTGACTTCTTGGAAGTGAATCCTCTTCAAAAAAACAAAACAATAATTCTCATATTGGTAACTTGAAAAAGAGAAAAGGACAAGGATATACTTCTGAATTATCTATAAACAGTAAACCAACTGAGGCTGAAATATAATTTTATAACATATATGTGTACTTAATATTGGATAGTTAATGTTATTCAAATATATTATTTAGACGTACTTATTTTCAAATACGAAATAACTGTTGTTTATTACAGGTTCAGAAAACGCATGTGAAAGAACTTCTTTTGCGTTTTTGAGACAAGAACTGCCTGTGAGGCTTGCCAATATTCTGAAGGAAATTGATATCCTTCCTGATCGATTAATTACCACCTCTTCAGTGCAGCTAGTTAAAAGTTGGTAAGTAGTGAACTATTCTGAAACAGTATCTAGTTTTAAGACAGTTATCTGAGTATGAATTCTTATATTAACATCATAGCTGGAACGCAAGTGGTCTGAATAGTAAATACTTTTGAAATGTAAATTTTTTATTAATTTAGAGTAAGTTATCATAAGGGCAGTTATAAAACTAGAAACAGACTATTTTATCCTGAAAAGGTCGATTCTTTCACAATGTAATTTGTACTTCTTGAAGAAATATGAAAATTAATTGACAGTTACAATTTGTTTTGTGTTTAAAATAATAAGACAGTTTGATATCGTAAAAGGAATCCTATCCTAGAAGCAGATATGAATGACTACTATTCACAGAGGGTCTGATCTTTTTTATTTGCAAGCCAATTAACAGAGCAGGCCCTGAGTTCAAATCCTGCTCTTCCTCATTATACAATTTTTGTCAAGTGTCTTAAATTCTTTATGCCTCAATTCCCCCGTCTATTATTGAGGAGAACAAAGCATATGACTCAAAGGGATATTTAACTATAATTAAATGAGGTAATCCATTAAAAAGCACTTACAAAAGTATCTAGCACACAGACAGTACTCAGTGTCAGTTATTATCGTCTCATTTTATAAATAAGGATATTGAAGCTTACAGAGAACAGATAACCCAAAGGAGCAGATTTTCAGAGAATAGAGCCAGGATATGCACTGAGGCAGAAATGCACCAGAGCCTTACCCTAATCTACTGACTCCACAGCTCTTTGTTCATTGATCTGAGAAAAATATGTGTTGTATACTCATTAAAAATATACAATCTGAAACACATTTCAATGCATAGTATTTACTGCTTTCCAGACTTCTACTCACCTATGAATGGAATAAGAAAAAATATGAAGTCTTTCTTAAAAAGTTGTTTTTAAATCCTTTTGCTATAAAAACCAAACAAGCAAACAAACACCCCAAAACAGTTGCCAAACAAAACAGAAACCTGATACTGATCTGCAATAGTTAAACAAATATAAATTTTAACTTTGATAGTTAAGAGTTAAAGTTGTACTTTTTTTTTTGTCGTTGTTATTTTAAAGATACTGTTTTCCAAATGGCTTGGAGTTTTAAGTTTAATCATAATACTTTCTCTTTAAAAATCATTTGAAAAAGACACTATTTTCAGCCATTTGTATCTGATTATTTAGTTTAAAAACTTAAAGCACATTTGTCACTTTATAGGTACATCCAGAGCTTGATGGATTTGGTGGAATTCCATGAGAAAAGTCCCGAAGACCAGAAAACATTATCAGAGTAAGTTTCGTGCATTAGAATGAGTGTCTAAAACTTTGACTACTTCCAGACATACTCCTATAATATATGATATGTATATTGATAATCTATAAAAGATAAATGAATGAACCTTACTTGAACTTTCACTAAATGTAAATATATTTTGGCTTAGATTTGTAGATACTCTCATCAAAGTTCGAAATAGACACCATAATGTAGTTCCCACAATGGCACAAGGAATCATAGAATTTAAAGACGGTTGTACAGTTGACCCCGTCACCAATCAAAATCTTCAGTATTTCTTGGATCGATTTTACATGAACCGTATTTCTACCCGGATGCTAATGAACCAGCACAGTAAGTTAGTTTATCATAATCATGATATACAGAGATGGTGTAGACTATAAGCCATACTCTAACTAAATGTTTTACTGTTTGGTGGGTCACATTTTCTGTCAGTGGTAGTTCAGTATTATCCTGATTTTTATATAATCTTTTTTTTGTATTTATTTTTCAACAGTTCTTTTATTTAGTGACTCAGAGACAGGAAACCCAAGCCACATTGGAAGCATTGACCCAAACTGTGATGTAGTAGCAGTAGTCGAAGGTAATTTCTAGATTTCTGCATTTCCCTTATTGAAAATGTACATTGTGTGATTGACATATAGTTGAGATAACTCTGTGAATGAATTCATAGTCAGAGTTTTCCCTTTACATTTTTCTAAGTACTGTCATGAAGGTCCTTTGCTTTTGAGGATCAGGGGTTTAAACATGCATCTATAACATAATAAAAAAATCCAAACATCAGTGGTTAATGTGCCATATTCTTATATATTGTATTTACTCTCTAAAGTGTGCATATTCCTATTGTTATAGCTATAACTTAAACACTGTCATAATTCTTTCTTTAATAAAATATGTAAAAGGTATTCTTTTATATAAATAAATTTGTACTCTAATGAATATTTTAGATTGAGGGTAGTGTACACACCGAAGATCACTTGAAAATTTTACTTGGCACAAATTAATTTCATTATTATGTTCAAAACCTTCTATTCCAGATGCCTTTGAGTCTTCAAAGATGCTTTGTGATCAGTATTATTTAACATCTCCAGAATTAAAGCTCACACAAGTGAATGGTAAGCTATGAATGAAATATATTTTCATCTATGTAAAATGCAGTATCTCCCAGTGTGATTGATACTGTAAATACAGAGCAACCTCTGTGTTCCACTTTTCCCTCTGAACGTGCCTAGATTTTATACACTTCCTCTTGAAGGCAAGGTTCTCTTTATCTCAATTGGAAAGTTCTGATTGAGCATGTTCAGTTGCTAGTGATGATTGGTAAAAGAGAATAGTTTTAACAAAGAGTTTGGGATATAGAGTCGAAACTTAGCTTCAATATCTTAGGCCAAAGAAAGACTGCTTACTACAGAATTGGGGGGATAGGAGAACAGATGTAGGAGCCACCACTTGATAGTGAAGATGATATCCTCCTGAAGAGGTGACTCATAAGATCTGGAAACAAAAATACTTCAAAATGCACCATAAGAAATAAGGACAAATACCGCATAACCCTACTTACATGAGATATTTAAAATAAGTCAAACTCATAGAAGCAGAAAGTAGAAAGTTGGCTGCTAGAGACTGGGGGAGGGAGCAATGAGGAGTCACTATTCCATGGGTATAAAATTTCAGTTCTGAAAGATGAATAACATCTAGAAATCTGCTGTACAACATCGTACTTATAGTTAACAATACTGTACTGTATACTTAAATATAAGGTGTCCCCCAAAATGTATACATAACTTTGAATAAGTATAAAGCCAGTGTTTATTCAAATACATTTCACTTTCAAATGTAATAGACTCTACAGACACTCTGTATACATTTTTTGGGGTCACCCTGTATTTAAGAAGGTAGGTCTCATGTTAAATGTTCTTATAAATTTTAAATTGCACTATAAGTATATACCAGTTTGGGAAAGCAGAGCATGCTTCATTTAATAGCTTCAACTGTAGGATACCTGAAAAGATATAGTCTTCCCTCAGTGACTGAATTGATTACATGAGGACTGCAAGGCACTATTTTTATCCTGTTCCATAGTTGCTTCTCAAAGCATGATAGCATACTTAAATTGGAATAACATTCTCCCTTCGAGTCAAAGTAAACATCTTTTCCAAGTAATAGTTATACATGAACAATGTTTGTTGATGGTGAGAGTGAAATCAAGTTGCTCAAATTATGAGTAACCTAACTCAGTTGAGGATATACAAATATAATTGATTGCCCAACTAAAAATAAAAATGCAAATAAAGATTGAAAAATATCTCAAAGCAGTAACAGCATTGTTGCATAACTTGTAGATGAATTGCTTGGACTGTTTGATAAAATAAAGAGGGAACTGAGCCAGACCTTGTGTTTTCTGATTCAAACTTTGCCAAGGCCTGGCACACCAAAGAATAATATGTTTAGTTTTCTTTTCAAACAGTCTCATGAGATTTTTGTTTCTCTGTTTTCTTTAGCCTCTTGGTGAAATTTGAGCATATTTAGTCTATAAGATTTAATGTTTGGGTGATAAAAATCAAGAATAATCAGACATGTTATTTTCCCGTGCATCCCTGAGTAATTTTCCATGTGTTCCTTCAATTTCAAAATATTATAGCTAGCATTAATTTTTATGTTATACTATAGACACATTAGTTTTTTCTTCTTTCTTGTGGTGCATATACATTTAACTCTGATATTGTCCAGTACTGAAGTTTTGAAAATAGAAACAGATAATCCATGTAATTTAATTTGTAGCACCCTCGTTGCACACCTCATCTGCTCTATGCATTTGCGGAGAAATGCAGGAATGAACCAGAGAGCCCTAGGTAGCCACTGTAACAGCATTTTGAAAATAAGCCAGTTTTCTTTTGTGTTCAAGAGTTAAGGTTCTAAGGTAGGATTTTGGAGTGAGGAGGATGGGAAATATTCCAATCCTATTTAAGTCTAAAATATTAATCAAATAGTTATGGAAGTTTATTTTAATGAAGCATTTACTTACCAATTCTAATAAGTTTAATTCTTTTCTAGGAAAATCTCCAGGGCAACCGATTCACATTGTGTATGTTCCTTCTCACCTTCACCATATGCTCTTTGAACTATTCAAGGTAAGACACTTCCATAGTGATTGCAACACTGGCTTCCCTCACACCAAATTCGCTGGTTATATTTTAATTTTCCTTATCATCTCTGACTAAACAGGAGCCTCACAATGTTCTCCTGAGCCAGCTTCTGTGCTCCTAACAGGAGGCTACAGTTAATGTTTGAAAGAGTACATCAAGTTCCTTGTAGTATCAACATGTATTTGAGAATGTACAGTATGATTCATGCTATCTCTGGGCACCCTAGGCCCATTATTTGTTCAGGTGTCCAACAAAGCAATATTCATTTGTGCATTCATTAAGAAAGTTCACGGGGTAAATGCTTCAGGGATGAGGCTTTGTCTCTTTCACCCCCACAGGCTGGTCCAATTCCAAATGCAGAGGTTCAGGTCCAGAACCTGAATGTGGCAGGGTCTCAACCCGAGTATAGAATATACTCAGAGGACAGGCTATTCCTTCAGTTATCTACTTGAACGTGCTTATGAATCACCTGGTGGTTTTGTTAAAATGCAAATACTGATGCAGTGGGTCTGGGTGGAGCCTGAGATTCTGAATTTCTAATAAGCTGACAGGTGCTGGTGCACAGTCCACTTTCTGCGCAGTGCTTCCCAAATTTCCATGTACCGTAGAATCACCTTCAGAGCTCGTGAAAACACAGATCGTTAGGCTCTGCCCCACACAGAGATTTTGATTCTCGGGCTCTGAGAATTTCTAACCAAGCTCTCAGAGGACAAAGATGTTATTGGTCTGGAGTAGCCAGGTGCTAAAATCAAATCCTGTCCTGGGTTTCCAAGACCAAACTACAACTCTGTACTTAACCAAAAGGTAGAAAAACACCTGAAGCTTTGTGATGCTTCCAAGAGTCCCCTGGACTGGGGAAGAGGAAGCCTAAAAGAAGTGAAATTTGCTTCCAATTCTGATATAACTCTTCTCAGAATTTACTGTTTCCTAACTTATTCTAATGAGGTACTGACTATACTACTACGAACATCTGATCTATTTTATCTTTACTTTACTAATGATTAGAACTTAATATTAAATCGAAAGCAGAAACCAGATAATTTGCTGAAAGGTTAGAGAGGAAAATGGGTGAAATAAACCAAAACTGCATCTGTATGAGACTCATCCAGTTGTCTGAAAACTCGAGTTTCTTCTCTGTTAAAGGACAAAAGATGCTTTTTTGTTGATTTGATTTACTTTTAAATTGAATGGTCCAGCTCACAGATTTATTTTGCCATCGTTGGTAAAGTTAAGATGATAATCACATACAAATTGAAATTTAATTTAGAATTATTTATTATGCTTTTAAATAGTAACAACTTTTTCCCAGCAAATTTTAGAAAAGCCAATAAATTGGTTCAGTGATTCACTGCTCATCTGTTATGTAATAGTCTGTGGTGTTTGGATGTAAAATGTAATGGAAAGATAGAAAAGAAAGAGCCAGGAAATGGACTATAAAAACCAATTTCTACATTTAAATTAAGCATACAAACAAGAACTTTACAACTAGCAGAATTGTTCTATTAGAATTTACTCCCGGGAACTCTATTACCTGGTAAATGAATATTTTTCGTTATACATCCTACATGACATATTCATTAATGGCTATTTATAGGACTGTTTTAACTACTAACTTAAAGGAAATAAGAAGTTTGAATTACCCTCTGTGCTGCTTTTATTTGAAACATAAAAACCAGGTATTTATTGTTCCTCATTCTTCTGCCATTGAATTCCTTGTGTCTTTGTTTTCTTTAGAATGCAATGAGAGCAACAGTTGAACACCAGGAAAACTGGCCTTCCCTCACACCGATCGAGGTGATTGTTGTCTTGGGAAAAGAAGATCTGACAATTAAGGTAACCATTCTCTATTTTTCCTTTGAATCTCTCTCGAGAGAATTTAAAAAGTCACCAATAATAAAACTCTCGGCTTTGAGCAATAGATCAAAGCTGTACGTATCAGGTGACTTTCTAATGACGGGAAGACATTTTTGTAAAAGACAAATGCACATTGTTTCTACTGTGTGGCTCTGATGACTTGTTTGTTGTAGATTTCAGACAGAGGAGGTGGTGTTCCCTTGAGGATCATTGACCGCCTCTTCAGTTATACGTACTCCACTGCACCAACACCTGTGATGGATAACTCCCGGAACGCTCCTTTGGTAAGATCAGTTATATGGTCAAGTTCCTCCCAGCCACTTAGCTCTAAAGGTAGCACCAGGGTTATAAAGAATTATTTAGGCAAGTTAATCAGTTTAAATTGGGCATGGGGGATATGAGAAAGAATGATAAAGCTAGCTTAAAATCGTGAAACAATTCAAGGGTTCTCTGATTGGGAGCAGAAAATATCTATCTAGATTCTAGGACATTAGTGTCAAGCACAGTAATAACTCCTTCCTACACTTTGTATTCCAAAGATCGTGTCCATTTCTTCACCAATTACTGATCTTTCCTCTCTAGGCCGGTTTTGGTTATGGCTTGCCAATTTCTCGTCTCTATGCCAAGTACTTTCAAGGAGACCTGAATCTCTACTCTTTATCAGGATATGGAACAGATGCTATCATCTACTTAAAGGTATACTTCAAATTCAATAAAAAGAAACTCATTTCTGAAGAGATCGATCGCTCCTTGTACAGCCCTGAGTTCTATGGTCTACAGTGGAAACCCCACACTGAGTTAATGAAATAATGACTACAAGGAATTCTATATTCTGTTCAGTGTGTGTAGATATACTGTGTAATATTTAATATGGTAACTTACCAATAAGGAGGTGGAGCCAGGCTACCTGCCTCAGGTGAAGCAAAATGATTGCCCAAGGAGCACTTGCGTTTCAGAGAGAGAAATGCTTGTGTGAATGTTTTTAAGGCGACTCCTGTGGCCTCTGGGAGAATAGCTGTGCTTCTGTTTAACTTCACCTTGTGAGACAAAGATGCTAATAATGTTCCAATCTCAGAATAACCAATATCCACTCATTCAAGATCTAATCTAACATTAGAAACCCAGGGAAAAGAAAGCTGACTGCTGACAAGGTGTCCGTGGAATACCTGGCATTTTCTGTTTAAACTTTAAAACTTGATAAATGTTCTTCCTATTTCTGATAAAGCCTCGATTTATTTGTTAAGGTCACTGTCCTGATTCTGTTGATCATTTACCAACTATTTCGACGGAAAATGTATTTACGGATATTAGCAGCTAAAACATTAAGTTTCTAGGCTCCCATTCTGTGCCAGGGAATTATTTGCCAAGTGGTCTGTGACCATCTGAAATAACTAATGCATTTATTTCTTAAATGAGCCAAAGTCTTCAAAGAATTGGGAAACATTAATAGCTTATAGATTTATAGTATCAGATTTAAAAAGATTAATATCAGATTCGGACTCTTACTTAATCACAGATGCAAAGGTTTTTCCTGGAAAGGATAGCTTTGCTATTCAACTCATATCAGAAATATCCAAACAAAAGATACGCATAAACATTGAACACAAATTCTGTTCCCTAATTTAACTTGTATGTATACTATTTCATCCCCTATGGATAGAGATAATATTTAATTTAGTTTTCTTTTATATAGAGCCTAACATACTGTGGGCTCTGGTGTGCTCTTATTACTAAATTAATTCAAAGAGTGTATTTGAATGGTTGACTAGTTACCTCTGAATTTATTTGGAACAATCACTTCAAGTACAGACTATGCTGTGAATAATTTATTTGGCATGACTGGTTTCCTCACTCTCTTTTCAGGCTTTGTCTACTGAGTCTGTAGAAAAACTCCCAGTCTTCAACAAATCAGCCTTTAAACACTATCAGACAATTACTGAGGCTGACGACTGGTGTATCCCAAGCAAGGAACCAAAGAACCTGGGGAAGGCAAAAGTGGCTGTGTGAAGAGGGACACGCTGCACACCGTACGGGATCAAAGTGGGTCTGTGCCAATGCAGCTTCCTGAATGTTTGCATGCAAATTCTTCTTCCCTGGGACACCGACAGCAGCAACAGAAACTCCTTGATCAGAACACTGAGGGGAAGAGGAACAAAGCTCGTGACCCAGGCGAGCACAGAGCAGGGCGACAGGAGTTAACAGATGGCCAGCTCTTTATTCTTTCAACGTAGGTTTGTATCGAACCCCGGAGAAGATTTCATCTCCTTATCAACAGGAATGGAAGAGAAAGTGAAGTGAAGATATAGGCGATCAGTTTCCACAGACTGATATTTTAGACCTTTGGTTGATACCATATTAGTAATTTATTGAACATCGAGTGTCCATTATATCAGCATTTTCCTGCCATCCAAAGGAGTGGGGCTTAGTTTATACTATATGACTAGAAATGTATGTATATGTACATTTTGTATATATCTATATGCTCTAGGGAGGAAAAACTGGTGACTAAGATAACATACACTTTGAATGACGAATGAGTCAAAACGTTTTATTCAAAGTTGCGACCAAGGCATTGAACCTGTGTGAAAACTTCGAAGAAAGCCTCTTCTGATAAATGCAGGGCCTTTATTATGCTGCTTTCCCTGTTCACACATCACATAGTAAGTGAACACTTATTGCCAGGTGCCTAGTCTTGGGTGAATTTTAAAATATGCACTGAATTCAGAATGTTGGCAGTTGGAGGGAGAGAAGAATTGTCAAGGTGAGAGCAAAACTCTCACTTTGCTTTGTTTATAAATGAAACAATAGGTTGGAACACTGATGTTAGGGAAAGAAACCATGCATTCAGAGCCTAACTCAGAGAGATGGGCTGTTCTCCACCCTGCAGTGGTGGTAATTCACAGGCATCCATTTTCTAGGTTTAAAAAGATGTATTTTTGATACATTTAATTATACTCTCTACACTCCGGCATTAACATCTCTGCAGAAACAATCCTAATTATCAAAGAATTCAAGAGCATTAGAATTTAAATACTTCCTGGAGTGTTTTTAACAAGGGGAGTAAGAAGATTTCATGCCAGGATGTTTTCATCTGTGAATCATTGAGATTGAGAGCTAATGAATGACAGCTGTAATGCGTAAGGAAATTTTGTGGAGTTCAGGTATAATATGCAGGTTGATGGGGCAGCCTAGTACATTACTCTTAGAGAAGGAATGAAAAAGCAAAAAAAGGAAGGAAGGAAGGAAGGAAGGAAGGAAGGAAGGAAGGAAGGAAGGAAGGAAGGAAGGAAAGGGCATTTTGCTATATTCCCCACAAATCATTTCAAGAAATAATCCATATTTTCATGGACAAATTATTGGCAAGAGGATGAATTGGTATCTGAAAACAGTATGACTTCTTGCAATGGCTCTCTTGCTCTTGTAAGATAATAGGCTTTAAAGAGATAATAAACTCATGTCAAATCGATGTTTAAACTGGGATATGGAGAAAACTAGGCTTCTCAAAAATAATCAGGACTGTGTACGTGTTCCTCATTTGTATTTAATTTTGACATGGCCTAGTGTTGTGGTGCTTCTGGGAGTGGCCATAGAAGCCTCAAACCCTTTGTTTCGAATTTCAGATTTTATCATCAGAAGTCTTGATAGGGACTTTTCTTGATGATGGGATTTTGGTTTACGCACTTATGAATTACACAAAACTATTTGCAATAAGTAATTTTAATTCCCAGTTTTTACTGAAATTTAAACATTTTTGCATGTAAATACTTGTATTTACCAAAGATTTAAAGCAGTTGATTAATTAACCCAAACACTGTAAACTATCATTAAAACACTAGAGAAAAAGAAATGTTGGTATCTCAATGACATCAGCTGTGTAAATGGCGTTCTATAAAATAGAAATAGACTACACGGATATTTGTAAAACTTATGAAAGAGCATTAAGATTTTACTGAATAGATGCTGAATGTTCAGACCCACTTAAATCATTCATGTATAAATTGTATTTTTGCCTTTAGGTTATGTACAGAGAAATGTGATAATTTTGATAATAAATATTTTTATAACAGTAGACATAGTCTCTTAAAGTTCTTTTCTCTAATTAATGGCAAAGTACTCAGAAGAATCTGAGGTGAAGATTTTCCTTACTTTATATTCAAGTCTAATTTATTTACATATTGGGTATAGCCTTTTAAAAGTATTGAAAGCAACTTAAAACCTTAATTTTAATTTTTATTAATTTATTTTTTAATCCTCACCCGAGGACATTTTTCCATTTTTTTGTTCAGATAGAGTGGGAGGGAAAGAGAGGAAGAGAGAGAGAGAGAAACTTCGACGTGAAAGGGACACATCGAGTGGCTGCGTCCTGCACGACCCAACCAGGGCAAGGGACAAACTGCAACCAAGGTATGTTCCCTTAGCAGGAACCGAACCCGGGTCTCTCTGGACCGCAGGCCGACACTCTAACCGCTGAGCCAAACCTGCTAGGGCTAAAATCTTAATTTTTAAACAAAATATAAGTCCTTTATAACAGTCTAGAAATTTCTCATTGTTCTTTGCTTTCTGAGTATGCCCCAATAACACATAGTTCAATGTGTGTTGATCTATATGAATATATCCAATAATCATTTTTGCGATGCATATATTCTCCACATATTTTTTGGTAAATCTACTTTTAAGTTTCACTTAATGATTGTATTTACATAACAAATACAGTGGAGCACCAGAATAATTACTTAGATAATTTAGGTTCCCAAATAACTTCTAGATTAAATACCTGAATGATAATAAGGTAGAAATAGGCCATGGTCAATTTGGCTCAGCTGTTGGAGTGTAGGCCTGCATGGGTTCTATTCCTGGTCAAGGGCCCATACCTGGGTTGCAGGTTTGATTCTTAGCCCCAGTCAGGGGTTAGGGTCATGTAGGAGATAACCAATTCACATGTCTCTCTCCCAAGCCATGTTTCTTTCTCTCCCTACCCCCCTTCCCTTCCACTCTATCTAAAAATTGATGGAAGAAGATCCTCAGGTGAAGAGTAACACACAGAAAAGGTAGAAATGGGATACAAATTACTAAATTCAGTGGTGGCATGTTTTATCTTTGCTATTTTCACACTGTCACTAATTGAATCCTACTCTAGCTTAAGACAACATCCTTTGCCCACCTCCACAATGCCCCTATTGGTAAAATTTGGCAAAGAAAAACAAGGGAGGGGAGGAAGGCAGAAAGAGAAAGTATGAAAAGGAAGAGGGAGGGAGAGAAAAAGGGGAAATTAGAATAAAATAAAATTAGTGGAATAAATTTGCCATAATTAAATCATAAAACCTTGTCATAGGTTTTTGAATAATTATATTTGAATTTTAAAATGCCATCAACCAAGACATTAGACCCTAAAGAAACTGTACAAAAGCCCTCCATCAAGGACACTTGACTTACTGTACCTTGTCTAAAGGAAGCACATGTGCTTATGCACACACACAGGCAAGCAGTACACACACAGGGGATCCAGTTGTAAATTTTCTTGAATTAAACTGCCTGGGAGGTAGGAAATTCCTGCCCTCCATGGGCTTGGAACCTTCATTTGCATTTCCATAAAAACTGGAAGTCAAGTCCCACAATCCTTTATTTAAACACACACCGTCAATGTGTGTACCCCAAAAGATAGTTATTTTCAAGTCCAACAAAGTGGGCTGAATCACAACTATCTTCATACCATTTTTCCTCAATTTAAAACTTGCTGAAAAATGGTAGGAGCGTTTGATCTTAGCTACAATGACATGTGCAGAGAAGGACAAAGAGAATACTGTGGTCCAGTAGCTTGTTTCAGCATTGACCTCATTTCTTTACATATTCTCCTACTATACGTTCAGGTATTGCACTTAAACACCTAAATGTGAACCAACAGTGCAAATGTACCCAGTCTGTCTTGGTGAAAGAATTGAGAGACTTTCATAATTTCATAGGAGTTTATGTAAAAAGTCCCCAAGCCCCCGACCATGAATATTTAGAGTAGGGGTCTGCTATCCCTATTAGCATTTTATCCACACATATCTTTATTGGATTTTTTGCTTTCTACCTTATATCACTGTTACTTAGGCACTCATTAAACATCCCATAGGTAAATATCTGAATAAACACATAAATAAACTTCTGCCTATAGAATAGCATCTTTACATGTAAGGGTAGATTAGAACTCTGTGCTAAATAAATGCACATCAAATTTTGTAAGATTTTTTTGTTGTTGCTTTAAATGGTATGTAAGAGCCCTGGCCAGTTTGGCTCAGCAGTTAGACCGTCGGCCTGGGGTTCCAAGAGACTCGGGTTTGGTTCCCGCTAAGGGCATGTACCTGGGTTGCAGTTTGTCCCCGGCCCTGGTTGGTTGGGTCATGCGGGTGGCAGCCACTCAATGTGTCCCTTTCACATCTATGTTTTTCTTGCTCTCTTCCTCTCTCTCCTTCCCACTATAGCTGAATGAAAAAATGGAAAAATGTCCTCGGGTGAAGAAAAAAATAAATAAATAAACAAATAAAAATAAATAAATGGTATGTAAGGAGTTTCACAACATTGTAGAAACTCTGAAATACTTTTCTAAACCAACTTTTTCCAAAAGTTAAATTTCAACCGTTTTGCTGTTTTAATGTTGCTCTCCATTGGTGGCCTTTGGACACTGAAAATTATCACATATTTCAAAAGAAATTAAATGATGGTTAAAAGTTTTCGGTAGTAAGAAAATTTCTTGAACAAATGGGTTAGCATTTCAGATTTTATAACTATTCTTACTTCTTGTTCACCTTGGACTAAATGAAAACTATTACTATCCATATTTCATGGTATTTTTGTTTTTTTTTTTATCCTCACCTGAAGACACTTTTCCATTTATCTTCAGATAGTGCAAGAGGGAGAGAGGGAGGAAGAAAGAGAAACTTCGATGTTAGAAAGACACACCGACTGGATGCCACCCACTCGACCCCAACCGGGGTCAGGGATAAATCACAACAAAGGTACGTGACCTTAGCGGGAACCGAACCTGGGACTCTCTAGTCCATAGTTTGAGGCTCTAACCGCTGAGCCAAACTGGCCAGGGCTCATGGTGTCTTAATGGAAATGAGCAACTGTCTTTTAATTAGATTTTTCAGTTTCTACCCAAGTGCAAATAAACATTAGAAGCCACTCAGAAGAAACAGAAATGTCAGTAACCTTGAAACACGTTGAATTTATTAAATTATAAGAGCTGTCTTAATGAGAAATTCAGCAACAAAATAATAGTTTGTCAACAAATTATGTGACATCATGTTCATGTTTACTGCTACCATTTAACATAATGAAAATAACACGGGACTGGTTGTCAAATAATTCAATATAAGTAGAAATTATTTATTAGCATACAGTTCTCCATAAATGTAAAAGGATACTTTAATATCTAAGACAAATAGCCTATTGAATGGCAAAGTCATAAGTTTTGAAATCAATTCTATTAAAACCACGTCCTTTACTGTATTTCTAGCCCAATAATATAATTTGATATCTGATAGTGTTGCCCTTCACTCCGTTTCTAAATTCATTTTTAAGATGAGCAAAATGGCTTTGAAATTATAAATTGTGATCTGAAAATAAAATAAAGATTTGAAAACAAAAAATCCCCTTCTATATCATGCTCTTGGACAATTCTCTTTACCTATTTGAGTCCAGTTTTCTCTTCTACCTGAATGAGATCTAGATGTTTAGGGAAGGCACTTCCAAAGCTAAGGTTTTTGAATCTACATATTCCAATAAGTCTTTCCTGAATACCCAGCCTCCAATCTCTCTTCTGTACAAACGAGGCTTCTTATAAATCACTATCAGCTCAAAATCCTTTGCTGGCTTCCCGGCGCCTAAGAATCTGATATTTATAGTTTTCTACAATCCAACCTACGTGACCTGCCTTACAACTTAAATCTTTCATTGCTGAACTGTTCAGTATACTGTCCTCTAAATTTGGAACGAAAGTATTTTCTTATGCTCATTATAAATATGCCTGCCTAAAACGCCCTTTCTCTCTTCTCTGTTTATTTATTTTTTTCTTTTCTAAACGCTGCTTGACCTTCTAAACCCAACTCAAATTTCACCTCCACAAACAGCACCCCGGTTCCAAGTGCTCTCTCTTTCAACTTTCTCCTCTAAACTCTCCCAGGGTCAGCACCATTTTAGAATTTATCACACATTTCCTAAGGTTGCTAGTTAAATCTAATAGAGATTGTAAAATCCAGAAACCCAACTAGATTGTGTGTTCCCTATAATCCAGGACCATGAATTACACACACCACAATGTTAAGCTTGTTTCATACAGAGTAGATGTTGAGTGATATTTTTTATTAATATATTTTTGATGAGTTGGAAAGACAGAAGATAACAATGGAACAGTTCCTAAGTGAGCAAATTATGCTATTTATCTAAAACCAAGGAAACCCATCTTAATAGTATTTTTAATGGCCCTGATCATTTCTTCTCAACTTGGGAAAGACTCGTGTTTATTTCCAGATGGATCCTAGCTATAATATTGACACACAAACTAAATTAAACATTTTATTTCAGGCTTAAGACTAGGTCTTTGCCCTCATGGAGCTTAGGGTTCTATTCAAGAGTTAAAGAGACACAAACATGTGAGAAGTTGACCAAAGATTTTAATAACAGTTCAAATTGACAATAGAGGAGATGCCATAATTTCTAATACACTTAGACAAATGCACTATCTTTAATTGCTGTAGAAATTTAAAGAAGAAAAAGGTGATTTCAAGCTAAAGTGAATAGGTAGAAAGAGGACAATTTATGTGAGGAAAAGGGGAAGACCATGAAGAAAATATCTCAGGAGAGGGTGGGAAGGGTAAGTTAAGGCTCAACTGCAGATAGTTTGAATGTCTGAATGTGGTACCTGGAGCACCAAGGAGCCAAGTACAGAACAGCAAAAGGATCAAACAGTTCTGTTTGCTAAAATCTTGAGATTGTGTGTTTCATTGTCAGTTTATTTACAAAATGCAATGCAGCAGTTAACACAATGTTCTCAAATTAGAAATTAATTTAATACTCC